GGTGCAGAAACTGAAGCAGTATTTATAACAACTCCTATTTCCATAAGAAATTAATAATCCTTGTGCAACTCTTGCTGATTCTCATAAAATAGACCTCACCTAACAAGAATACTAGCCACCTACCGGGTATATAATCTTGTGTGATCTCATCCACATCCTAACCTTATTTGATTCACAGCCATAGAATTAGTTAAGTAGAAATTCCAGACAATTAGATACAAGTACTGGACACCCCAAGACACTCTCCACAGATAATATGATTGTTTAACTGAACAGGAAATTAGTATCGACAATTCAGTGATAGACCACTAACCCAAAATGATGCAAATGCTGATCCAACAATACCCAACACAATCATTTTTTGTCAGATAATAAATCATTTATCATGTTGTAAAATCGTTTCAAGCATATGCCATTATCAACTATTATTGTTTTTGTTTTTTCCCTGGTCCATTGAAAGGTAGGGCGCACCACCGTCAATATAGACTAATACTTAGTCTGTGGAAACATTTCTTTACAATGATTGTAATTTCCTCCTGATTTGGAAACTTTCTTCCTCTGATGTTTTCATATGGGAATCAAGGAATCTAGACTTGGTTTAGTTTGTCTTGCCTCGGCTTTCGGTAAAACATATTTACAAAAATATGAATTCCACATTCATGCTGCAGACAGAACTATTGGCTACATACAATATAAAGTCTACACGTCTTGTGCAGTCACCAGTCATGAAATGAATAATCTCAAAATCACCAGGGCTTGCCCTAAGAAACTGACCTATTCTATTAGTGTTTTACAATTAATATTTTTTTTTTTTCCCTCAGTCATTATCACTTGAGATAACTGGTCTTCGTATTTCAGTGGTATTATTAAAAGGGATATAATATAACTGAAACATGGTCTATTTAGTATCATATGAAAAAGGATAAGAATCATCCAATCTGAACTTTCTTAATAGATTTTTAAAATATTATTTATGTATTTCCCTGGTATTTTCTCTCAGTCATTATCATTTAGATAACTGATATCTTATTAGCTATCATAGACATTTATATGATCATATTGCAGTGACATTATTAACAAGGGATATATATCTGATATTTTATGTATTTAATGGCATAAAAAATGTTGAAAGTTGTAAATGAAACTAATTGTTTTCATCCACACCTGTTTTAGTATTCTTGTGGCAGAAATAGAAGTAAACCTATCTGACCCAGTTCATTGTCTTTTCTCAACACCTATTAGGCTCGTCATGGCCTGGGGAGAACAGTTTTTCCTTCTGAATTAGTTAAGTTTGAACTGATGCGCGACTTGATCCGATGTATTAACCAATCTATGTCTGTTTCCTCACTCTTGCAGCTTCTCTCATCTCGACATGTGTCCCCCAATTCCTTTACCATCAAAACAAACAGGAAGAGGGTGCATCTGTTGATTCTTTTTATGGCTAGAAAAAGTTAATTTGGGAGTCACTGAGAGCCAAAATGAATAATTTGAAGTATTCTTGTGAAGACCCACTTTCTCCAGATACAAGATACAAGACTGTACGGTATATCGCTGTGTATAAGGCGACCCCACGTATAAGACAACCCCCCTGTACACGCCTTCGAAATCGACCCAAAATCCTATACTCCGTGTATAAGGTGACCTGGAATGAAACACATCACAAGTGCGCGCACAAACCTTATATATGCAATAAAAATATGTTTATCTTTTCTACAATGACTGGTCGCGTGTGTAACTCCAGCACATGTCGCCATTTTGTATTCACACGGTGCGACACCAAATTGGTGCCCATAAAATAAAATTCATTTATGAAGTAATAAAATAAGAACATATTGCACAAACATTCCAAGAAGAAACAGTGACAATATTCTATAAACTATATAAACAGATACATAACGAGTCAGGATAAACACACAAAGTATTAATACAAAATATTACGTTAAGACCTTGGTCCATCTGTTATACATACTTTAGGTTCATTTGAAGTTGTATACATGATAGCAGAGAATTTCTATGTTACTTGGTTCACTATTTTAAAAAAGTAGACTAAATATTTCTGTGATGTTAAGGCATTCAAAATAATGATGTTTTAGAGAAAGGGAACTGAACAGATGTCTTCATTTGATGTTTCTTGTAAATCATGTGTTTTAGTCCATACACATGTAGATACATTTAATATTTATTTTAAAAGGGCATTGATACATGATTTCAGACATTTGTGAATTGTACTTCAGAAGTTGAAGTTCTCCGATAGAGAAGGAAATTCACATCTGGCAAATATACAAATGATTCTACCATAAATTTAGCAAACAGTATTAAAATAGATTTTAGTTTAATTGAAAATGTGCTTTTTGTAACATCTTTTTATTATAATGTTTATTAAACTTTCCTTTCCAGATTTTCTTTTCTAGGAGGTTGTGGTGGGTGGGGAATATTATGATGAATTTGGTATTTTGCCTACAGACTCTTGGCATATTAACCATGAAAGTCTGTAAACCCTTAAAACATCTGAATTCTTTCATGGTAAATAATTACAATTGCCTTGTGGTAAATTATTTAAAACTTTGCTCATTTGTTTTGCAATACTTGTAACATATTTCTTAAAACATATTTCCGATATTTGGCATGAATATTGTCGTAGATGCGTACTTTCAAACCTTGCTGCACTGTGTTTAGTACCAATGGTCCACATCCAACATATTTCAAATAGTGTTTTTTTCTTATATCCAATCAGAAACAGGTTGCAGATGTATCAGCTAGCCTTGCATGATAAATTCTCCAATAAAACATTTCTCATCTACCATCAGTCATCTGTGAACAATATGGCCACCACATCCTCTCTGATTGAAGGTTTCGTTATTGCTGTCAGTGTGGTGTGAAAATGGGCCAAGAAATGGTTTTAGGATCCATTAACATCATTCCTCATATAAGTGAGCTGTGAAGAGTTAGGAATGAGCCCGAGGAGCCGAACCTCTTTAATTAACTTAATCATCCCGTTTATCCCCATCCCCACTTCTCTCCAGCTTCTAACAGCTGAACATCATATTCCAGTGGGGAAAATAATCCTAGCATGACAACTCATCATTGAAATTGGGCTAATTTATCATGTTCTTCTCTCTTGTAAAGAATTCCAGATTTCCTCATCCAGAGCATCAAACAATGTACGCCTAATCATTTGGACCTTATCTTGAGGGGGTCAGTGTGCATATGTTGAAAAATAGGTTGATTAATCAGAACTAGTTGTAGTGATAGCATCATCAAACAGCTTATCATGTTGATCTTCGTATCACGTCTCTTAAATATATGTTTTTTAAAATGACGGTGATTAAATAGTGTTTTTGTGTCACTCATTAAACCTAATATTAAATCTGGCATAAATAATTTTAGAATAAATTTGTTTAAATATATTAATTTTCTACATTTAATAGGAACATTTATTTCTTTTGCCTTTTGCGTCTGGTGGAATCTCTTTCGTGAATGATTGAGGGTGCTTATTTGCTGGCCTTGAGGGATTTTTTGTTTATGGAATTTTGGGAAAATAATCCTATTCGGTAGGTAGGGGAAAAAGTTTAATGAGTGAGATATTTGTGATTATAAATTTAAATGTTATCGGAATATATGGCCATGTTTGCAGTGTTACTTGTACTTGAGTATACCACTTCTTACTTTATTCTATGGTCTTGCAGTCTAACCTATGGCGTGCACTCATTTTGTGGTCAATATGTAAGTTTGCTTTTGGGGAATAATAAATTAGTGCTTTCAGATTACAAGAATATATTTTGAGGGCCATGCACTGGAAGCTTAAAAGGTTCCTCCTTCTCACTAATTCCCCTGACTGTCAGGTATATCGCATTCATCCCTGAGGGATCCCGTACTGCCACATGGGCTATCAGGTTCAGGACTAATAGACAGGAGCAGGTGTCCTGCGGGTCAGGTTCTCACCACCTGGACTGCAGCGAAGGTTCAGGTAAACCATACCTGAAACCAAGCCTCTCTGCATGATTATTTTATCAATATCTCGCACCTAATGGTCAGGCTGTGGAGTTAGTCATGCTGATCCAATGTCAGGAAGAAAGTGTCAACCAATGTGATATGGATACAGTGTTATGTCATCAGTACCTGAAAAGCTAGACTTTGATATGAATTGCTAAAGGTTTGTGTTGTTTGCAAAGGATAAATTAGAACCGCTTTAGGCTCATGACTCCGGACACCACATGGTTGTCTAATGTCATGATCCGGAAACACTACCTTTTGGTGATCATACAGTGTGATCCAGAAACCCCACCTTCTTAGGGATCATATATAATAACTCAGAAACCCCACCTCCTTGGTGATCATATATAATAACTAAGAAACCCCACCATCTTGGTGATCATATATAATAACTCAGTAACCCCACCATCTTGGTGATCATATAGTGTGATCCAGAAACTCCACCATCTTGGTGATCATATAGTGGGATCCAGAAACCCCACCATCTTGGTGATCATATATGATAACACAGAAACCCCACCATCTTGGTGATCATATAGTGGGATCCAGAAACCCCTCCATCTTAGTGATCATATATAATAACTCAGAAACCCCACCTTCTTGGGGATCATATAGTGTGATCCAGATACTCCACCATCTTGGGGATCATATAGTGTGATCCAGAAACCCCACCTTCTTGATCATACAGAGTGATCTAGAAACAATCATTGTGGAAAAAAAAGTAGATTTATCTGCAAAGCAAGAAAAAGTTGTTTCTGCATTAATGAAGATTTATTGTTTCAAGATCAATGAAACTTTGAATGTGTAAAACATGTCCAATTGCACGTAATTACAGAGCTACCAGTCGGTGTGTTCCATCACATGTAGGGTCATGACTTGCCTTATCAGGATTCAGTTTCATGCTTCCATACAGTTTGAAAAAATAACTGAAATTCCATCCAACTCGCAATAAAAACTAGAATGTGTTGATGATTAGAATCATTCAAACATGGTGCCTTCCTTTGCAGGTGTCATGGTATCGACAGCATGAGGAGCACATCCTGACAATCGGTGACATGACGTGGGTGAGGAACTCCAACATCATCGTGGACTACCACGAATTCGACAACGACATCAGCCACTGGAACCTCAGTATCTCAAAAGCACAGCCTCAGGATGAAGGCACATACATCTGTGAAATTATTGATAAAAAGAAACAGGTACTTCACGTTCGACTTCGAGTGTTAGGTGAGTTGAAACAATGTGTTGGAAGTTATATGCTCGTCTCCCAGGGAAGAAAACTATCAGTCAGAAATACTGGACGGAGACACAACATGATCATTTCCATACATGGTTTATCTAGCTTCAGTTTGCATGATACTATTCATGCTTTAAGTAAATGTTTGTAATTATATTTGGTTTAAATGGTAGAGTGTCAGTGAGTATGGTTTTACGCCGCTTTTAGCAATATTCCAGCAATATCACGGAGGGGCACACCAGAAATGGGCTTCACACATTGTGCCCATGTCGGGAATCGAACCCGGGTCTTCGGCGTGACGAGCGAACGCTTTAACCACTAGGCTACCCGATCGCCCCTGTAAATGGTAGATACAATGGTAGATATCTATACCTTCAAAACCTTATTGTGTACTTCAGTCTCATCCCAATCAGATCTTTTATTCCAATACGTTCCTTCTCTGTGATAAGATCTGAGGACAACTTCCTGAGAGACCTATGACTGCCCAATCTAAATGAAGGACGTATGGTTCTTGAGCCAGATGTCAGCTGCCTAAAATCATTCAGTTTCATTTCTTTATCACCTCGATTCTGCAGTTTTGATTTCTACAAAAGAAAAACCCAGCAGAACACCAGTATTCTTTGAGGGAACTCCCTTCTGTTTGTAGTGCTACAGCACTCAGAAGTGACTATGTGTATTAAATGTCCACAACAATGTAATGCCAAGGCCTTATATCATCTACATTGGCAATAGTTGTTTTCAAGTTACAGAAATCAGATATGCTGGCCTGAATACTTTGCTGACTCATACCAAGAATTTAGAAGCTGCTGTTTAGCTGATTAGAAAATTCTCCTGACTCGACCTTTGGAGGTGTTCTCACATGTTCACAGAGAGATATCTTATATCGGAGTAAAATATCTAATTTCATTGAGATTATGTGTACTTTGAATTATTGTCTGTAATATATGATTTCTATTTGATCAGGATAATTTTAGTCAGTCAATACGGAAGTTTACCATCACAGCCATATAATTTTTGTACTTATATATAGGCAACTTGACAACCCTTTGTGTAATAACAACTAGTTTAAGCAATTTACCACACTGAATAAGCTGATACAATCACGTTGTCATTTCCCATAATATTCATAAAGGTTCATCAGCAGGTTATTTATGAAGATCCTACACAACAGATATATATTTAGTAGCAGTTTGGTATGCTATAATTGTTACAAGTCCGTTAAGATATACAGTAATACTGTAATAATTCATAAAGGTAATGGAAGTACAGATAAGGTTTATTGTCACTACCAATATTTAGGGTTCATGATTTGTTCTTTTCATGCCTGTTCATCCATGTTACATGAGGTTACAGATAACCAATTACAGTATAAATATAATGTTACTGTTCTTTTAGGTTAACAAAAATGTTGCAGATATGATAAGGAGATGCTTTTGTACATTCTAGGTTTATCATTTTAACTTATGATTTATTCAAGTTTCAGTTATAAATATTTTATAACCATATTATTTAGTTTTATGGACATGATAGATATTATTATTTGTGATGCTGATAGTATATTTTTATTTTATTTCAGATCCGCCAGATTATAAACCAGGTAAGCATGCCTTTATTGTTATAATTAATATAATTGTAATAAACTATCTAACTTATACATTGTATGTAGAATATTATACCTGATTTGATTATTATCGCCATTATTAATTATTATTGCTATGACAATTAAACCATGACCACCATGCTGTTTATTGTGAGTGAGTGAGTTGGGTTTAACGCCGCTTTGAACAGTATTCCAATAATATCATGGTGTCTCAGCTTAATGTGGGAGGAAAGCCTGAAGTGATGCAGATGTCAGACATTTACCACTTTGGTGAAAACCCACGAGCATGGGTATGGTGCTGACAAACATAATCAGAGGAAACAAAATTCGAACCCATGATCATAGGTTCTCGCACTGCACAGCAAACTGTCGTGCCTTAGCTTCCTGGGTTATTACTAACAATAACTTGAATAACTGCATACAAATTGATTCAAATAAATGAATACCGAAAAATACATTTGCTAAAAACAAATGGGTATAATTGACAGACTAACATGTAAGCATTATTAAAGTTTTTCAAGACTAGTTCTGTTAGTCTCTTGTTGGTAAAGGTCCTGCAGTTGTCACTCCAGGAAGGGGGGAGGTCGGGTAGCCTAGTGGTTAAAGCCTTCGCTCGTCACGCCGAAGACCCGAGTTCGATTCCCGACATGGGTACAATGTGTGAAGTCCATTTCTGGTGTCCCCCGCCGTGATATTGCTGGAATATTGCTAAAAGCGGCGTAAAATCAATTTCGCTCACTCCAGGAAGACTGGTTTATTGTCAGATTTGAGTCCACCGATGAAGGCTCTATACACCTCCACCACCACATTAACCAAAAGTTACAAAACTGTTTATCATAAGAAATCTCTGCTAAAAGAACAGTTGATTGTTTCATTCTGACTGTATCATGAACATGAACATGTGTTTATGAATCGAAAAGTGATGAAACCAGGTGTTCAAAAAGGTGAACAGATTTACCCCAGATGATACGATGAACATTGATGATGTATTATTAATTATCTTTTATATTGCTATAAGTAATGATTACTTTTACATAATTGTCTGTAATTACCATTAGGTCCACTCTGTTGGATAAAAAATCAAACTACATGGCCTGTTAAATATTTCTCACCTTAATTTCGTTGATTTTTTTGCTGTGTTTTATTTATTTATGCACTGTTAAAAGTGGATATTCTCACGATCATACCAAACTGAGAAAGACATGTTTTATAGACTGACTGCACTGCATTATTTAACTCTGGATGTCTGTTGAAACCTCCTGGACGCTCCCTGACATACCCAGAGATGTTAAATAGAACCCCTTTCCAAGCCTGTTCAAACCCTGTCATCAGAATATCATTGAAGGGGACTGTTTGAAAATTTGACTCAAGTTGTGAAAAATACACTTTCTCAAGAATGTTTTGATCCAGTGTCATGGTGACTATAGATTTAGTAGTTAATTATGTCATTATTACTGCAAGACAATGTCTCAGTTTCACACTTAGCACCAGTTACAACATCCAGACGTACAGTAGACATGGGTGGCGGATCAGAGGACTGTCTCCATATCTTGATTCTTGCTTAAAAACTCGGAATATACATTTTATGAATTTTTCAAAATGCATGATGTATAAGTTCACACAGCAACAGTTGCAGTGAGATTGCAATCTTAGTTTCCTTTTAGATAAATGTCTCAGGAATTAGATCATAACATTGTTTTGTATCTTTTGTTTCAGAAATTCAAATATATGGAAAAGAATATGTGGATTTAGGCGAGGAAGTGCGATTGATTTGTAATGCCACAGGAGGAGACTTGATCCCAGAGGACATTGATTGGTTTAAGGATGGGGATATTGTGGACTCCACGAGATTTCGAAATGTCATAATAACCAAATATCGGTCTCTCGAGGACCAAGCGCTAGTGAGTGAGTTAATTATCGACAGGAGTCGAGGAGAGGACTCGGGGACTTATATTTGTCGGAGTTCTGAAAATCTTATTGATAGCATGGAGGTTACGGTTCTTGTTGGTACGTATAGTGGAGTTTCCGTCTTTCTTATTTCTTAATAATAAAAGTTACGATAAAGTTCAGAATTAAATACTCAGAGAAAGTTTAAAGGAACACTTGCTGGCATTGTCAGTAAAACTCAGAGTGATATCAAATTCATAATGAAAATTTGAAGTATGATATATACCATAGTTCCTTTATGTGTGTAGCGTGAGTTGATAAATATGACCAAGCACTCAGTATATGTATCTAGTATTACATTATTTGTAAAGAACATTGGAACATATGTATTATTGCTGTCATTGGAATGTAAGCCTTCGTAATATCCACCATAAGTCAGGGCGGTAGAAATCATACCATCTGCTTTTGTAAGGGTTCCTGCTACAAAGAATTCATTTGCCAAATACTGAAAATGCCTATGTCTGGTAGATACTTCAAGAAACTTCTCCATGTATTCTCCTGTATTCTCCATACAATGTGATTTTTAAAAACTATATACATCTCACGCCCTGCCCTTAAATATATTGAAATGATTTTTGGATAATTTAATGTGAAATATAGAAGGCTGAGTCTCCATAGTTTTGCTATTGACTAAGGTTAATCTATTTTTTTTAAATGAGATGTCATTTTATTGTCACATCGGCTGCGGATATGTGCATTTTCCCCTGATTACAGACACCAGTGATGTTTCAGTATTCCGTCCATACTTGTAGTGTCACAGAAACTAGTTGTCAATGTAATGTGGATTTGAATTATCCCCATGTTACTCAGACATAGCACTTTTATACCTTATCATCCCAAACTGGCTGCCACAGGAGATTCGTTATAAGTAAATAGCACAACAAGGCTTTGCAGACAACTGTGACGTCATTGGTTACCATGACATCACAATCCAATGACATCACCAACATCTATGCAACTGAAGCTTGGTAGCGGTACCTTTCACACTCAAGACACTGGTTTTTACTGCCCACTCACTGAAAAAGTTGATTTTGAATGATTAAGAAGAATGATATTGATGAAAAAAAGAATCTAACCCTCATGTCGTCCAAGCTAATATTTGCAAGACTTGTTGATAAAAGTTAAAATATCCTCTCCAAGACTTGGATTTTTTATCTTTTATCAACTCGTCCTGATTTGCTATTGGAAGACATTCAGTGAGATTATCTATCTCTCATCATTTTGTGCAGAAAATGGCCTCCTCAAAAACTGAAGGCGATCTTCATGAATAATTTCAAAATTGTTAAGAAAATTTAACGCCCTGTTTGATAATGAGTACTCACTATTTTCTCAATTGATGCATTATCTGTACTTTTAATGACAGCAATACAGTTATAAATGATTTTGTTCCTTTAAATTTTTTGCTGAGTATACGTTCATTCTCTACTTCCTCCCTGCTTGTTGTCATGAAGAGCCCACCGGTAAGTGCTGTCATCTGCATGCTTCAGTCAGGCCACAACAAATTAATACACACCAAGAAACTCTGTAAAACTCTTTCAAATTTCAGAAGGTTGAATAATATCTAAAAAAGTCAAATTCAGAATTTCAAGATGTGACAAATGAGCTTGTGCCTGATTGATAGGCAATGCATGCCCACTCACTCTGAAGAACTTTCTCCATTCATCAAAGTTGGAATTTAACTGGTTTTATTTATCAATAAAAAATAAACAAATCTGATAAATCAGAGAATGCAGTGTTCCTTTCAGCTGCAATGTATTCCTTTGTCATGGAAAATATATCACGAGATTTCATCAATTTCAAGCGGGAATTTTTGTCATGTGTACGAGGTAATCTAACATTAAAGTAAACATCAAAACTGTGATGTAAATGATGAAGTATAGTACCTGTTTGCAAATAAATAATAAAAATTAACTGCATACTTATGAAATGCCCAACTCGACACAGGTGCATGCTCTAAGTGCATGGTATATTTTTCCTTGCTAATTGTCAGCTCCCATATATAAGAATTTCATAAGCTAAACATAGGTTATTATAAACTGATGTAAAAGAATTCAACAATAATATTACTAAACTTCACAGTGTTAATGATGTCTTTGAGAAACTGTGATAATTTGTCAATTTTGATGTATACCAATGTACCAGCTAACAGTTCCCTATACAGAATTCCCTATAAAGTCTTAAAAACTTCAAACCTTTTAGTATACTATGGTACTTGAAGCACACCTCCACAAGACAGGAATGAGCTATTGTCATGGCTTTTGTCCATCCATCAATTTCTTGGTTCTCTAATCTAGATGTATGTTAGCAGTGCACTTAAAAGTCTCCTACAAAAGAACTGGACATATCAATATCAATCATTACTTTCATGTGTTGAGTATGTTCTTGGTTTTAACCAAATTATACCAATGTTTGTGGGTTTCACCAGAGTGGTAGACATCTAAAACTTGCCTTACTCCCACATCAAACTGAAGGGTGTCATATTAATGCATTACCATTCAAAGCAGCGTTAAACCAAACTCAATCACTCACTCACAATAACAAAACTAGGGTTTCATTTTGAAACACAAGGTCACCAGGGCAGCATATTTCAGTTAAGAAATTTGTTTTTGTATACCAATTAACCTTATTTTTTGAAAGGATGTTACATTTTCTTACCGCCAAATTTGTTGCTTTGTGAAAATCAAAGGGGATCTAACAGAAACAGTGAATGTGAAATATGGAATGACACATTAATAATATATCTATATACCGAGAGAACATATATTATTTCTTAGATGAACGCTTTATTATCTTCAAAGGACATTGCTCTGATTTGTGCAAGGTAATAAATATGTTAGTATCATCATCAATACATTTGAATATATCAAAGCAGATCTTTATAGCTAGTAAGTGATGTCCTGATATGAGACAAAACACTAAACCTACAGCTCATTGTCATTCAAGTTGTAAATCCACCAAGTAAGGTGAGCTTCTCTACCTCCCCATATTGGACCAACAAATATTTCTTCGATTCGCCTCACATTCAGTCTGTCAAAACTGAAACTGTCACACTTATTCCTCATTTCATGTTTTGGAATTCATCCGGATTTGGTTAAAAAACTCTACTAATTTGTTGTGGCCAGCTACAAAATCTACATCAAGATAAAACTGTCATCTGTCAGAAAATGTGACTTAATTTGTATGAATATGTCATCTTTTATTGAGAAGAAAACTTGATGAAAAGGTTTTCTTCACTGAACATTTGGTATATTCATGCAAACATTTCTAGCTGCTTTCTTAGAACATGATTTCATTATGTTCAGTTCTCTTGTTTTGAATCCGTGTATTTGATATTTTGAAATATTTCATTTCACAGTTTAGTTGGGCTGATGAAGACAACATGGTTATGTTACTATTTTGTTGCTTGAGGAGACAGAATTTTTGTGTTGAATATATTGAAAGTTTATTTTTTTTATTTCCATATTTATGTGCAACATTTGAATGTCATCTTAAAAGTATTATAAGGAACTGTGACCACTATTTATTAATTATATTACATCAAAGATGTATATGAATGATACGGACATTATGACCAGTTCATTTATTTAACAATATAAATATATATAAGATTGCATAAAGTAAATTCCAGTAAAATATAAAGTGTGTCATATTGCAATATGTTTGATAATTTACTATAGTCTTGTATATTTTCTGTATTTCATTTCAGCAAACTCCTCCAATGTGAAAAGAGGTAAGGTGATCTTCTGAAATAAATGATGCAGTTTCATGCCAAATGTGCACATTATGAGCTTAAGGAACCTTTGCAAAAAGTATACCTTAATAAAACTTTAATAATCTATTCTTAGCTGATACCACTGTTGGGAAGCACATTTCCTGTAATGATTGCACAGCACAGGTTCATACTGCAACGTTATTGTAACAGTTAATGAGTTTTCTACTCTATGGCAGATCTCATAAGACAAGTCTACTGACCTGTTGTAAAATGAAGGCATGCAGACTGTGTTACTGTTAAGATGGTCGCCTGTAATTTCACAATAACACAAGAGTGTCAAGGCATTTTGAAGACTGTAGAAACCTAGAGAAAACATCCATATACAAATGCAATTTGAAACTCTTATTCCAATATTATGAAAGGTAATAAATGGATATTTGGTCATCTTTTATCAAGAAGTGTTTGGGGTTTCACGGGCACAATGCAACTATTTCCAGTTGAAGATAACAGAGGTCGTCAGTACTGAGCTTTGATCTCAGCAGTAAATACGTTGCAGTGTTTGTTGTCTGTCTGCAATTGGACATAAAGACATGATTAATAGCATTTTGAAAATTTGAATATGGTGAAAAGTTTGCTTTGGAATTACCAATGGTTGAAAGGTAAATCGATTGATTGGTTAATCAATATGCTAAGCCATGAGAATCTGTTATGAATCTTGGTAAATGGTAGAATGATATCCTTGAATATGTATTTAGTACAACAGAAACCAACATTGATTTAAGGCAGTTACACATTTCTGCCAGGAAATATTATGTGTTTTTACTCCAGTAAAAACAGAATCCCAACATGTATGCATGCGACGCCAGACATATTTGAAGCTGCATACAGTTATATTTATTGCATACCCTGTGGGAATTGTCTTCCTAAAAAGATGTGATTACAATTGATTATCGATTGATTTACGAGGTAGGAATATTGATACGAAGCAATTCCGTTGATAATTAGTTCTAATATTTCCATATTTCAGGTTCTGGCTCCGGGTCTCAACATGCTCGGTCGGAACACCCATTCAACAAGGCAGCACTGCACATAAGCAGCAGTTTCAACATGGCCACACTAGTTGCTATAGCAACCATTGGTTTCCTGCAACTCTGGAACTCATGACAGTTGGACTTACCATGATCAGAGATGTAAAATACTCAGAACTATATTCGAAATTAAAGGGAGGCCTCCTTGCTGTTAAGCGAAGACAAAAGGGAGACAATTCAGAAGACACACGCTCTGGAACAACTGTGAAACGTTTGTTGCCTATTATGGTTACAGATTGAGTGTTATGACTGTTTTAACAGAAAAAATGTAACAAAATGTGAAGTAGTGAAGAAGTAGCTGTACCTTTACAAGAAGAAGAACTGGGAAGGGAGACTACTTTCATTACAAGCATTCAGGGGAGATAATGCAAAGCATTCAGGGGAGATAATGCAATGGATTTTGTTCATTGTGTCCCAGGTACAAAGGATTCATAGGAATCAGAGATAAAGTGGTCAGCATATTCCCTGAAAAAAAATAGCCTGATTTCAGTTTGTTCATATATGAGCAGACAAACATACTGCATCATCAAATATGGTTGATGACGCATATAAACACCATATAAAGATGTGTCAGGCTGAAGATTGTGAAATACAAAGAAAATAGCTGATATTTTTCCATCTAGCGTAGCTATCAGTGTGTTGACAAACTATCAATTTTGGAACATGACATTTCTATATGAAATAAAATGTATTGATAATATATGTTGATTAACTGACGCTATATACCAGGAACCACAGGGGACAAATAGGTGGATATTGGATCACCAATGATGAAGCTGTGAATGACTGGAGCATGTCTTGTTGCAAAACAGCACATTGAAAATCTCCACAGATGAAGTTTCTACTTTCAACTGCCAAGACAGACATCATTTCTGGAAATAATATTCTCTTTTTCCCCTGTTGAATTTCAATCATATAAAAGATGCCGATCTTCCTGTGCTGTTTGATTGAAACTGAGTTTTGTAATCAACTCTTTATATTGATTAATCTTCATGAAGCTGATTTTTTAATTGTATTGTTTAATTGGTGAATATTTGATTGAGAATAAGCGTTTAAAGAAGCATAATGTACATTTTAACCTTAAATCTTGTTTTAGGGTACTTTATTATAAGGAAGTTTTGTTGTATATCAAATGTTTGTTATTTTCAATATTTGTAGTATTATGTTTTGTAATATTTTCCAATATATTTCACTCAGGTATGGTAGATGTTATTCTATCAAACCTCAGTATATTTTCGTTTTATTGAAGTTATATAGAAAACAATAAAATCTGTTAGTCTCAGTTTTGATCATTATGATTTAAAAAGAACGTGAAACAATTTCATAAAAGTTGTACAATTGTGTACTTTTTATTTCAGTTAAACTTTCAGTTCAAATTTGAATATGTCAAATGCAGTATTATACTGTGTGAAACTTGTAAGAATGACACCATCTCACAAAGAAGATGTCCAAATTATATTTTAATATAAATGTTCCCACTTTTTGTACAGCCCTGACACTGATTATGATGTACATAGCCAAGCTAGAGCCAGCCGCAACACTTGATACAACTGTGTGTGCATGTGTCTTCAACGATGTTGTAGCATAATTTGACTGTAATAATTTGACATTTGTAAATACCCCATGTAAATGAGTACATTTTGTAAACCCACTTATTTATTTAGAAAAAAGTGTGTATATTTTCCAAACGTTAGCTAGTTGATATTTTAGAAGCATTTGTTAAAAATGCTCCTTTGCTGAAATGTACTGTTGAAAAGAATGACGAGCATGAAGAAAGGTATTGACAATTATGATACTCTTTATGTAAATTATGAGCAAATATGATTATGAATATTAATATTTGATTACACTCTGTTAAGCATGTATCAGGTTAACGATATATGGTATACACAGCTTTAATGCCTTCTCTACAATATTGAGTATTCCTATCTTGAGTATAAAGCATGTAAACACATAAACATTAGTCTGATACAAGAATAGAAACTTATGTGTACTGTGCATCGGGGTGTAAGTTACAAATATTTAACTGATATCAACCCCGCTTCTAATGGAAAGTTTTAATTATTTTCTATTTTTTTGAGAGGCAAACAAATGCTAAAATTAATATTACCCATTTGCAAAACAAACAGTCATTTTTTTATGATATCTAACCACTTAACTAAAGCATATTTATTTTTCACATAAATTATATGACGCCAATTGATCTAATCTGAAAATAATTTATTTTGATGGATTTTAACTTCTTTATACTTTCAATGCAGTGTTTAGTACAGGTGCTTAGTATGAAGAAAGTGCTTATTTTTATCAAATTCTGATGATCCAAGATGTATTTCAAGGCGTCTAGCTGATGCTCAGACTGGGGTATACAATACGCTTATTACTTGTAGCACTGGGAGCCTCATTCTGACATCAGTGTTAACAATGACAGAGGGGTCATGGCAGTACAGACAAGTAATTTTGAGAACCAAAGAATCATTTGAGCGATTACTTAGATAACCTTGAAAACAACCCGTAGAGGTATTTAATGTATGTCTCTATGATGAAAGCATAACATCCTTGTATAACTGGTATGTTTCAAAAACATGACTTTAATACTTCAATGAATAACCATTCTAAATGTATGTCCCAAACTGTCAAACTTTTGCAAGTCTTACAAGCAATTACAAGCACCAGTGCCAGTTTTACAGATTATGATAAGTGAATTTTGAAACATTCTTTCTTTGGGTGACATGACTGATTTTCAGTGATCCATTCAAAATAGATCATCTTTACTACTATTTTGCTTTTAACGCCCAGTGGAATCTGTTCCGACAAATAATGCATTGACGTTTTATATTTAAGTATTCTAAAGATGAAAAAAAAAGCTGACATAGATTAAACAATAGTGTTTTTGTTTCCTCCTGAGAAATTAGGATAGCATGTTATTTGATATATATTCCAAGGAAAGACACTATCGATGATGTTGGGTTGGTTTACTTTGAACTCAGTCTTGATCAAAATAAAGCAGAGGTAACTGATGTGACATTGGTAGGATGGTTAATCTATGCTGATCCAAGTTTTAAACAGCCCATTTATTTACTGTACATAATACCCTGTTGCACAGTGAGATCATTTTCTGACTATATTCTTCATGGATGTACAACATTCTATGTAACTGATGTTCTAGGTACAGTGCTCCCTCACACAAAGTGCCATAGATGTAACCAATATTGCATGATAACTCCCTACCATGAATATAGAAATCCATGAATGTCTCAACTCTATAGGGCTGGGAATGGGTAACTTGGGTACCCGGGTCGGGGGTCACGTGATATATTGTTTAATGACAAAAATTATCTAGAACTCTATGGTTACACTACAAGCCACTGATGTTTGCATTTCTTTTTGACTATGCACCCATTCCTTCTGATTTTTCATGTGGTTGAATGAAGATATAACTTAATTCAACTTCAGTGTATGAATGACCAGATTGTTCAATACATGTATCTAAATACGTTTTGCCAGGAGTATGATAAAAATGTTCCCAATCGGACATTTTGAGACATCTCCTGAGACCTACAGTGGGTACCCAGGTAGGGTCGGGTAATAGGGGGGTGGGTACCCGGGTAGTAAATTTGGACTCGTCCCAGCCCTACAACTCTACCAAGTCAGTTAATACAGGCTGAAACATTGAGAAAAATAAAGGTAATCCAGATTAAATCTGCATTAGTCTTGAAAACAATATGATCATGGATGTGCTGAGGGTTCCAGTAATGAATCTTTAAATTTTGTCTAGATCCAATTGACCAGCAAGTCTGATTTAAGTCATTGAAAACCCATGTTTATGTCTCCAATTAAGGATGGCTATCAAACTAACAGTTACTTGTGACACAGATCATGTTTAAATTCCACATGACACTACGTACGGAGTCTAGGTGTAACACAGATTCCTAGCCATGGACGCAGTTCCCCTTTAACATGACCCTGAAACCAACTTGAATGATGGTTTATAGAAGCTCTCATAAAATATGTATACCAACTGTCAGGGATTTTAACTGCCATTCATTGCAAGTGTTCCAAATGGGAAACTTCAAAGCATTATACCATGGCTTAAAGAAATAATGCCAAAACATTCTATGGTATCTTTTTGGAAATAAAACCAAAATCTTGAAGAAATGTTATAACTGGCACTGTTACCGGTAGCAACTGTCTCAGAATCTTGCAAACAAGTTAGTCTCACTTAACAGTAATACACAAGCATTGTTACCATGGAGAGATTCTCCTTTGTCTTGGTCCTTACACTAGAATTTCCACTGCAAAACACTAACTGCTGAGGCTAAAAAGATAATAGTCTTAGTTCTCAGGCACCGCCTGCATCATCATAAAGTCTGCCCCATGTTTCGTTTTTATTTCCATTTTAATTATTTTTTTAAATCCTAAAACAATGCGATCCACTATAGCACACTGTTCCTTCCCTTTCTATGCGCACTGCTTAACAGCGCATCTCGTGTTATAGTTATGACGGAAATAGGAGTTTGTTTGCTGGTTTATGTAGGGAGGCCCTTTCCCAGGTTGATGTTACACAACTGTTTATTTGGTTACATACTTTTTTGAACAAGCAAAAAAAAAACACTGCCCACCCGCACTATTTTTTCAAAAGTCATTGCCTGAGAACCAATTCTTTTATTTTTTTAAGCCTAAGTGTCGTAATGTCAATGAATGTGGTGTGTTGTCCACGAAGGGAAGGTCATGTCAGTATATATTACCTCAGTTTGATTTGCCAATTCAACTTGTTTTGTCAAGGTGCACATTTTTATCCTGAGTTCCAAAGGAATGTTTTCAGTGAAAGCATTTGTAACAGAGATTGATCTGTGAATCTGTGTATATTAGTCTTGTAATACTATGTAGATATATGGACCAGTGTTTGATTTGCCTAATACTGCAGGACAGCATCTCTGGAGTACAAGCCCAGGTACATCCCACTACATGTGATTCATGGTTACCGTGTACAAGTTAGATTTGCCCAATACTGCAGTACAGCATCGCTATGATACAAGCCCAGGTACATCCCACTACATGTGATTCATGGTTACCGTGTACAAGTTAGATTTGCCCAATACTGCAGTACAGCATCGTTATGATACAAGCCCAGGTACATCCCACCACTGAAACATGTGATTCATGGTTACCGTGTACAAGTTAGATTTGCCTAATACTGCAGGACAGCATCGCTATGATACAAGCCCAGGTACATCCCACCACTGAAACATGTGATTCATGGTTACCGTGTACAAGTTAGATTTTCCCAATACTGCAGGACAGCATCTCTGGAGTACAAGCCCAGGTACATCCCACTACATGTGATTCATGATTACCGTGTACAAGTTAGATTTGCCCAATACTGCAGGATTGCATCGCTATGATACAAGCCCAGGTACATCCCACCACTGAAACATGTGATTCATGGTTACCGTATCCAAGTCGAAGTATGGAAACAGATGCTAACCACTACACCACATTGAGAGGCAGTACACTACAGGGTCCTACAGTGGACCCAGATTCAAATCTGTGGCATGTTGTGAGGGCCATTTGGATGTTCCTTGCAATGACCTAACTGCCAAATCAAAGTTAAACATGAGCCATGTTACTCAGTTATAAACCACACCAAACCTCATCCATGCACTCAGACTAAGCCTGGTCTCTGAACATATATAATTCTGAAAGAAACAAGCGACTACATTTACATTTAAAAGGAACCCCAATGAGAGGGGAGAATCGGAACTTGTGGAAAATCTACACAAGCTTCATTTAAGGTTATAGCATTACAATCAAGGATGGGCGGAAAGGAAAATAATGATTCAGGGTCTCCCATGTACTGTGTGGCTGAAAAGGTTTAATCATGTTGGTGGCGTAGGTACATGCCACCCTTTGTAGGATCTGCTGAAGCTATGAATACCAACTTGGGTCCTCTTGGAGCAGTTGTTGTACAGTACAATTGCCCAGTTCTATATACAACTCGGTCATACCATTGCTGTTAATTTGGCAGTAAGAGCAGCCATACCTGAAAAAAAATGTTGATATTAAAGCCAGCGCTTTTATTACAAAGAGCAAGTCTATCCCTTTAGGACATTGTTGTTGGAGAACAAATGTAACCACAGGACAATTTAAATAAAAAAATATAGTTTAAAAATGAAATCGCATGTTGACACAGTGAACCTCACTGACTAAATGTCCTGCACTGCCATAGACTTAAATGTGTCCTGTACACAATGCTATACTGAACTGTATGGGTTGATGGGCTTGTACTGATGCGATGTTGTTAAATAATGTTGAGTTTGTACATAGTCTGTGTAATATTCACATGATGTTTATTTATTGCCATATTGATGATCTGCCATAGCATGGAACATAGCATTTATTTACTGTTTGGTTAATGTCATGTATGATGATATTTTTACCATGCCTGAAAATTGTATTTCTGTGAAATATAGACCTCATTTCCCAATATCCTTATAATTCTCAAATTGCTCCTAGAAATAAGATATAGATCTAGTCACAAGAAATGGTGTGAAAACTCGAAAGTTAAATTTAAAAATTTATTTTGCGAGTACATGTATTGAAAATGCATATTTTGAATTTGATCGAATTGAAAGGAACTCAAGTGTTACAAAATGTAATGTATTTTTGTATGTACACACATTACTTTGCATGGGGTACACTACACTGACAGAATATCCTGATTAGGAGTTAACATTTCAATAATACAAATCCTCAGTACAGTATAGTTCCATCAACAGGCAGAAAGTTTGTATTTTATGTAAGCTTCATTCATTTTCCAAACTGACTCCAAGCCACTGAAGTATTTTTACCCAGAAATTGACCGACAAGAGGTTATCTGGAACCCACGGAGCCCAAACAATAGGAAGACTTCACATAAACAGCAGCAGCTAGCTTTATATCCATCTTCCAAAGATTATTAAGTAGAGCATGTGTGTCAACCATCCAAGAAATACTACTTTTACCTGCATGTGAATGCACAACTCTATCAGATAATGAAAGGGTTTTGAGGCTTTATTTGCATGATACAATGTGTATTAACTCGATAATGCAAAGTGGCTCAAATGAAATGTAGCTGTCATCACCATGTTTTCATGCTTATTAATGAATCCTAGCATGACAATTTAGGGAGCTGTTCATTCACAGACCACGAATGACGAACATGATCTAAACTTAAGCTTATGTTGATCAGTTACCACAAGATTGAAGAGGAATTATTTGAAAATAGTAAGACATATTTCCAGTTCCTAATTTAAGCCTGAAGAGTGTCGGCAGGAGATGTCAGTGCATGTTTCTACCTATCTACCCCTGCTTAGTACAGTCAAGGGAACCCACGACTCCAGCTCCCAGCTACTGCATTTACCTGCAAATCATTGTACTGAATGTGTAGTAGTGTCTATCACTTTGTATGTTACTTGTATGAAGTTAAAAATAAAATCATTGATAATTTTCAATATTTGTTGTGTTTAATTAATTTTTTCTGTTCTGCTGGAGCTGTCATCTTCATTTTGATGTCCACCTTGTCCTAGTGGGTCACTGTCTTTCTTTCATGATTTGTTTGATTGTTTGTTGTTTAACGCCGCACCTAGCAATATTCCAGCTATATGACGGCGGTCTGTGTATCATCAAGTCTGTACCAGACAATCCAGTGATTAACATCATGAGCATCGATCGACGCAATTGGAATACGATGACAAGCATCAATCAGTTCAGAGAGCCTGACCACCTGATCCCTTCAGTTGCCCCTAACAACAAGCATGGGTTGCTGAAGAGCTAGTCTTCCTGGATCTTCATGGTCCAGAGACCATGTACTGAGATCGGTATATGGTCTTTGGGAAAGTCATATATCTTGTCCCTCTTTTGTTTCTTCTCCAAATAGAATCCAATCACACCTATATATTTTTTTATAATAATCCATCATAGTTAAGTGAAATATGTACACTTATGGCCAGTCAATATATAGAAGGCCTTATCTTCAGCACCACCCAAGGGTCTTCTTTGAAAACAACACAAAACAATGTTCAGTTTTTTTACATGTATATTCATTTCATCTTTGCTCATTACATACTTACAAATGCATGGTACATGGATACATCATATAAATAATGCAGCAGTATAGAAAATACAACTGCTAGAGATATGTACACCAGGAAGTTACAGACATGTTGGATGCAGTACAGTATATGTGAAAGTGCAACCAGTCTCGAAATGGTGCAACCGGCATCAACTGTACAACTGGCCTCTACATAACTGCCACCTTGCAACCAGCCTTGACTGAGTGCAACCAGTGCAACCAGCCTTGACAGAGTACAACCAGCCTTGACAGAGTGCAACCAGCCTCAATGTGGTGCAAACAACACACAGACTGTGCAACCAGCCTTGACAGAGTGCAACCAGCCACAATGTGGTGCAACCAGCCTTGACAGAGTGCAACCAGCCACAATGTGGTGCAACCAACATGCAGACTGTGCAACCAGCCTTGACAGAGTACAACCAGCCTTGACAGAGTGCAACCAGCCTCAATGTGGTGCAACCAGCCTTGACAGAGTGCAACCAGCCACAATGTTGTGCAACCAACACACAGACTGTGCAACCAGCCTTGACAGTGCAACCAGCCTTGACAGAGTGCTGCCAGCCTTGACAGAGTGCAACCAGCCACAATGTGGTGCAACAAACACACAGACTGTGCAACCAGCCTTGACAGTGCAACCAGCCTTGACAGAGTGCAACCAGCCTCAATGTAGGGCAGCCACCATATAGACTGTGCAACCAGCCTTGACAGTGCAACCAGCCTTGACAGTGCAACCAGCCTTGACAGTGCAACCAGCCTCAATGTGGCTAAACCCCCAAGAGAATGCAACCAGCCTCCATGAGTTGCAACAACATTAAGCATCAACAGTGCAACCATTCTTCAACAATACAGTTAGACAAGACACCAATCCCATCTTGGTGTCACCACGCTTGACACAAGGCTTGACACTATATTTGCTGCATGTTTGACACCAGATGTGACACCAGATGTGACACCAGATGTGACACCAGATGTGACGCCAGATGTGACACCAGATGTGACACGAGATGTGCACCAAGGGCTGCAAGTGGTAGTTGATGCTTCAATAAGTTTCCCTGGAGGATGTCAAAGATTAACAACCACCCATGTCAATGGGCTATTGTTTCTTCGAAACCATCAAGTGCTGATGATTTTAACTACATTTCTGTCCTGAACTGCTGTTTGAAGGAGTTTTAGTATTCACAAGTTAGTATGACTAAAGGCACTACAAACAAATTAAGTTGAAACTAAATCACTTCATTCTGGAAGATACTGTTATTGCTCCTGAGCTCAGCTGGCTAGGTTTATTGTGCATGGACTATCCGGAACACAACTGATCACTGACATCTGCATCTAGTAGAAAGGAGTGAGTTATACACATGAAAACAGAGGATTTACTGACAGTACACTTTCTATTAATTACTAAGACACTCATTCCAGTTACTGATGTTCTCGTCTAGAACCCTCCACAGTTTTGTTTTTTTTATCTGAATAGGTCCCTACATTATCCTGAGAGACACCCTACTAAGTTAGTGTCAAGAGCTGCATAGGTTGGATGTTGAGGGCAAGGAAGCCAAGGAAGAACAGCTGTTAGCAGTGGCCAGTCTGAAACTGTGTCCACGTCCTCGGACAACATAGTGCCTGTGTCCCTGCAACCTGACATCAAAGGACCTGTGTGTCAAAGGACCTGTGATTGATGCTCATGATATCAATCACTGGATTTTCTGGTCCACACTCGATTATTTACAGAACACCATCATATAGCTGGAAGATTGCTGAGTGTGGTGTTAAACAACAAACACACAGCTGTGTCTCACTGTACCCTTACAACATAAGGCCAGCATGTCATGAACCATGACAACATAAGGCCAGTATGTCTTGAACCATGACAACATAAGGCCAGTATGTCTTGAACCATGACAACATAAGGCCAGTATGTCATGAACCATTACAACATAAGGCCAGTATGTCATGAACCATTACAACATAAGGCCAGTATGTCATGAACCATGACAACATAAGGCCAGTATGTCATGAACCATGACAACATAAGGCCAGTATGTCATGAACCATTACAACATAAGGCCAGTATGACATGAACCATATGACAACATAAGGCCAGTATGTCATGAACCATGACAACATAAGGCCAGTATGTCATGAACCATGACAACATAAGGCCAGTATGACATGAACCATGACAACATAAGGCCAGTATGTCATGTACCATGACAACATAAGGCCAGTGTGTCATGAACCATGGCAACATAAGGCCAGTATGTCATGTACCATGACAACATAAGGCCAGTATGTCATGAACCATTACAACATAAGGCCAGTATGTCATGAACCATGACAACATAGGTCCAGTGTGTCATGAACCATGAAAACATAAGGCCAGTATGTCATGAACCATGACAACATAAGGCCAGTATGTCACGAACCCTGACAACATAAGGCCAGTATCTCATGAACCTTGACAATATAGGACCAGTATGTCATGAAACATGACAACATAAGGCCAGTATGTCATGAACCATGACAACATAAGGCCAGTATGTCATGAACCCTGACAACAAAGGACCAGTATGTCATGAAACATGACAACATAAGGCCAGTATGTCATGAACCTTGACAATATAGGACCAGTATGTCATGAACCTTGACAATATAGGACCAGTATGTCATGAAACATGACAACATAAGGCCAGTATGTCATGAAACATGACAACATAAGGCCAGTATGCCATGAACCCTGACAACATAGGACCAGTATGTCATGAACCCTGACATGGTTCATCACCAACATGTGCAATGAGGCATCAGGGATTAGCATGGGTATGATCTTAAAAGACTGGAGGTCAGAGTGTATCAGAACTTAACTGTGGTGTGCATAAGATGACAAACTAGATTGACATAAACATCAGATAATACAATGGAAAATATCAAATGTATACAAAGGGTAAAATATTTTGTTAAATTCTGAAAACAAGATAGCTGGATCAGTCCAATTTGGAAATATTTAAGTAGATACTGTACCAAATACAAACCATTTGCTGACGTGCTGACATTTTACCATGCATCAAACATCCTGATATTGTATGTATAACAAAAGATGAGAAAAAATGATCCAAGGCTTATTAAATAAAAAACAAGAACAATGCTTTCAGTTTTGAAATGTTCATTCTTTGACTTCTTTCTCCACAATGTCATCAACGATCAATGCAAGTGGTATAAAGATACTGCTGTTAAGGATGTGCAGAGATAGCGTCAGTCCCGGCAATGGTGGAACACAATGTGGACACTTCATGATCTATAACACGTTAAGAATTAATCTTACATTGAGTGCGAATCTTACACTGTAGAAGTGTTTGAACACATGCCACCTTCCGTTGTGATGTACTGGGCACTTTTTGCTGTCATGTGACAATGTGACTTGCAACTTGCAAATGCAAAAACAAGCCAAGATACATGTAATACTAAATGTATAAGCCTGTTTTAATTTGGATTTACATGTATATAATCTGTTCCTAGATCTTCCCTCGATGAAATGAAACAATGCAGGTTGTTATTTAATACAAATTCAACGCAATTCTACACAACAAAATGTTAGTCTTGTTTCATACCTTCATGACTAGTCTCTTGTTAGCTATGTACGCTAGTAACACGCTGCCCCTCTTCCAAACCTAAATGTAACAGGAATTACTATATTATTTTAATAATGGTAATCACTGCTAATTCAAAGAAAACTCATCAAGATCACTTCTGGTACACTGTGAAAACAGACATTTCACTTCGATGATGATGATGTACAAGCTGAGAGATGCAGGTGATGATTGCAGAGCGTTATGAGTGCAGTGATGATACAGTTACACATCGGGTAGGTGCTCATGGACTGCACCAGGTATTTTCAATAGTTGAACATTTCGCTCTAGAAGGCTGTCGTGCTGCATTAGTAATGTACAATTCAATATAAGTGCTATTATATCACACAAACGTTCTTACACATTAAAACCAGAACACAAAATATATCAGTTCCCGTTTCAATACGAACAAATACTTCGGCTTTTCCTTACGTATAGGCAGTTGCTTTCCACATTCTGCTGGACGTTCATACTTACTGAAGCTCTCATAAAATCTACAGTCTTCTCCTGAACTGAAGATGCATTTAAATGTTTTTAACAACTAACATTTACCAACTTTTTTTTATCTCAAATACTCCTCACAATAAACAATATGTTAGCAAAACAAAGATCAATCATATTGTGTAAAAAATGTTTGACATCTAAAGCAAAGGTTCTCAAAATGGAGGGCCACTTTCTGTGTTCGTCTTAACCCTTTTTAACAGTTTAATCCTGATGTACACTAAGATCTTAGGCTGTTACAGTTGAAGGCAACAACAGCATACATTTCCCCTTTGTGTTAAATAAAACAGTCTTTACATTTTGACAAAGTCTGACATAAATTTTGTTCCTCTGTATTGACAACAGCTATTAAGAAACCAACCCCAAGCACTAGAGACACGGAAATCAACCAGGTAAGGGAGACACAGTAGTAGGGTATCACATGGCATTGGTGTGGCTAGAGGCATGAAAACGATGTCCCATGTGTGAAGGTAACAGTCTGTACAATTTATACAAAATGTTTAATATCATACACAATCTGCATCAATGTCACAAGGGCTGGGCAAGAAATGCTCAAAAGCTCAAGGATGCTTTTTGGCGTCCACATGGTGTCCTCTCTCCACCGGACAACATCAGTCAAGCAACAAGTGTCTGAAAGGATGACTCCTTACTCCAAGTTTGACTGGAAAACAGTCTGATCATGTAAAATGGCAATGGCATGACAAAACTACAGGAGGATGTCGTCTTATCTGTCCATCGTTGTCCTGCTGGAACATATCTTAATGCTGACTGTCACTCACCAGCCATAACAGGCAGAATCTATGTCTCGAACATCAATGCTTAAGGTTTCAAACGATTTCTGACCAGTCCACAATACTTGGTAACATGATAACGGCAGTGGTGGTCATAGTTTGGGGTTAGTTTGGGGTTGGTTTGTGATATGCAGACTACAGCTAGCGGAGGATGTCTATCAGCAGTAATGGAGATTGTTGTCGCATGAACTAGTCCTAAGTCAGTCACACATGACTAGTAGGGTGGTGATGGTGTTTGCCTTCAGTGAGCTCCTTGATAACTCCATACAAGTATTTGGGACATTGCAGCCCACGTCTGCTGTTTGTGGAGGACATCTTGTAACTTCACAAAAACTAATGTGAGATGTCATCTTTCCATGTCACTACCACATGAATAGGCACAGATCAGGCTAGACAGGAGCTACTCTTGATTATCTGGCATATCAGCCAATACATACAGCATTTCTCCTGTTCTTAAACATTTAATTTTGCAGACTTTGTTTAATCAGAACAAATGGATTTCTTTTCACACCTCATATACTCCGACTGCATAGACTGCTTGGACATGTGTCTTTATGACTGCATAACATTCTGCTTGTAAGTCTGTCCAGCATAGGTTTTATTATGTTCTTTCGTTTTCAGAATTTGTTCGACAACAGCTGTAGAAATTAATGCCAAACCATAATGGATTTTTGCTTTGAGTAACAATTTCGGGATACATTGATCCTGTTCTTTCTGATTCACACTCTGTAGTATTTACAACCAAGTACAGAACAAGTCACTTAACCATCTTGCCCTGGAACCAGGTGAAGTATAGGGGTATTAAATGTTTAATTGCCTGCATGGCCAGTGAAGCTTTGTTAACCGACTGCCTCACTGACACTCTGCAGGAAACACTGACGCCAGCCAGATGCAGACATAAGTTACTAAAATGATCTTCTCCACAATGCTGCTGCTGTAGTTCCATATGGCTTTAGCACATTAGCACATTAACCCATTAGCACAAGTACATACTGTTGGATCTTATATGGAACATTGACCTTATGTATTAATTCTCCTTGCTTACGAATCTTACATCAGTTTTCAGGAAAATATTCTTGATTCTCGGGCACACCTTGATCAGGATGACTGCATTCTTATTTCTGCTTCAAGGATGAGGACAATTCTGACATCCAGACAACACTGTTTCTCACACTCACGGGTGGTAGTTTTTCACACTGACGGTGGTAGTTTCTTACACTCACAGGTGCTACCTCCCTACCAACTCCCAGATGTCTATTGTTTGAGAACCAATTTGTCAGTGCGGTATCAAGGATCCTTGTGCTCTGTTTCTCATATGTATACCGGAGGCTACAAGCTCTGCTACAGTGTATGTGCATGTTGCTGCCTAGTTCAAGTCCTCCAGTGTTGCAATAGGACTACAGTCACAATCACCACACTGACCAGCCACGGACCAGAGACAACAGAAGAACCTTGTGCAGAACTTGACCTTGTCTCATCTGTCTGAAGGTGACCAGAGTCTGAAACCAACACAATAACCCATATAATACCAAGCTGCATAATGTCACAGCTATATCATCAAACTATGGTTCATTGGTTTAAGATTTCAATTCATACAAAAATATGAAATCTTAAAGTACCTTGTTCGAACTAAATCATACTTAATCTTCAGACTAACGTCTCTTACAATGTTCTACCAAGTAGTCACTGAGTAACTGGTTTTAGATGTATAGTACAGTAGGGTTTGACAAGGACACAGCTGAGGCCCCATTACACCATAGCAACATTGCGTCATGTCTTTTGGAACTAATGAAAAAAAAAAGACTCCCTATGAAATAGTCAGGAATCAAATTCAAGCAATACTTCCAACTTTAGACTAACGCTATGTCTCTAAAAATATATATTTCATAGAAAAAAATAACATTTAAATTCAAAAGGAGACCAGTGAGATGGGAGATTCAGAACCTAACCCTGGGGAAAGTCTAGACTTTAGGGTTGTAGCATTTAAGTAAGGGCTGGTGGAAGGGAAAGTATTCCGGTTCATGGACTGAGAGACAAACTATTCCCACTTGTACACATGAATAAAGAACCTGGGACTATCAGCTGTACAGCCCAGGATAACTGACAAGGACATGGAAATAGCATTGTAATTGCTCCTGACCAATGACTTGTGAGTATTGTCGGGCTGAGGTTACTGTGGAAGTGTAAAACAAGGCCGTACCGTACTCACTGTAGTGAGGCTGTGTCTGCAGTTGCTCATGCTCCCGCTCAGGGCCATGCTCTGCAAGTGGAGATAGTTGACCGTAAACAGGTTGTTCATCAGTGAGTGAGTGGATTTGATGCCGATTTGAACAGTATTCCAGTTATATGACAGCATGTCAGCTTACTGTGGGACGAACCCGTGAAGGTCTGGGTTAGAAACACATGCTTGTAAGAGGCAACAGGGTTGTCTACCTTGTGGACTTGGTGCATGCATGTCATTGTACCCCAATTGCATTTATCGGTGCTCATGATGTCAATCACTGCATCATCTGGTTCATACTTGATTATTTATGGCCGTTGTCATATAGCTAAAATATCTTGACCGCAAAACAACAAACAAACAAATAATGTGGGAGGAAAACCCGAAGTGATGCAAGTCCTCACTTTGGTAAAACCGACGTGCACAGGTATGATGCTGACAAACCTCGAGACATACTCAGGGCGAACCTGGACTTGAACCAATGATCACCGGTTTCTGGCATACCAAAGGGATGCAACTCTGCACAGTGAGTTGCGGCGCCTAAGATGACTGGGCCACCAGTGTCCCTCACTGTTTCAGTCCATATCAGGATAAGTTCCTGGGGCCTGTTCCACAAAGCGATCTTAGTGCTACGATTGTCGTTAGCCTATGTTAAAGTATGGGAGTAACGATCATCTTAGCGCTAAGATCGTTTTGTGGAACGGGGCCCTGGATATTAACAGTTAGCATGATCAGTAGGTTCCCAGTTTTCCAGGGCCAAGATCAGATTTATGTTTGATTTTCTTTAACCCCAAAGTTTTGTTTGTTTGTTGTTTAAGGCTGCACCCAGCAATATTCAAGCTATGTGATGGCAGTCTGTAAATAATCGACTCTGGACCTGACAATCAAGTGATCCAGTGATTTACATCGATGAACATCAATCCACGCTATTGGGATACGATGACATGCATCAACCCAGTCAGCAAGCCTGACCACCTGATCCCATTAATCACCTCTTATGACAAGCAAAGTTGATTTTTACGGCAAGCATGGGTTGCTGAAGACCTTCAAGGTAACAACAAAGTGTTCATATTGTTATACTTTACACTTTACATACTCCCAAACACACCCATCAATGCACATTACTGTTTGGTATGAACACAGCAGGGTTGTTCCCAATCATGAACATAACAAATGTGTAAATGTCTACAAAGAAACCTCCACAAACACACTGCATGGTTCTTGACAGTGTTTTAATGGACAGAGACACACATTTCTGTTGGGTGAGTGAGTGAGTGAGTATGGTTTTACGCCGCTTTTAGCAATATTCCAGCAATATCACGGCGGGGGACACCAGAAATGGGCTTCACACATTGTACCCATGTCGGGAATCGAACCCGGGTCTTCGGCATGACGAGCGAATGCTTTAACCACTAGGCTACCCGACCGCCCCCATTTCTGTTGGGATAATCTGATGAGCCTATTCATGGTTGCCAGTTGGGTGATTCACATTGGCTCAATGACCTGAGGTGCTGTGCAATGTTTGTTAGTCCAGCCAACATCTGATCATCCCAGACCTGCCCTGACTCTGATGCTAGTCTTGTCAGCACTGACCCATGCTCTTGGGTTTTACCAAAGAGGTACACGGCTACGACCTTGTTCTTTTCTCTCCCATTAAACTGGCATGCCGTGATGGAACTAAAATACTGTTCAAAGCGGCATTGTGTTAAAACCCAACTCACTTACTAGTAGACAGGCATAGTGTTTTTCCCATTAAGATATTAACATAGTTGCACAAGGAGGTGAGGTGAGGTGAAATGGGGTTTAACGTCGCGTCCAAGATTATTGCACTTATGTAGCAACATGCATGCATGTGTGTGTGGCTGCTTGTACTAGTCCGGACTGATGCAGATGTATAGTGCTTGCCCACTGAGATACCATTCTGCAGTTTAGCATGAATACCCCACTCAGGCACAGTATACTGACTCCGAGCTGACCAGCCCTTGTTTTAGCCCCTTAATGCCGAGTGCCAGACAGGGTAACAACAAGTACCATCTTTTAACATCTTTTGGTATGATGCGGCCGGTGATCGAACCCCTGGAAGGTCTCCGGGCGGACACTCTACCATTAGACCACAGTTGCACAAGGAAGGGTCATAATACCTCACTATGGGAATTGTTTAAAAAAAAAGTAATCATGAAATCTCAGCATTCACTTTTAGTCTTACCACAATGACTGTTGAAAGAATAGATTGAAAATAAGTACATGTTTTTGTTTAATGTTGCACTCAGCAATATTACATCTATACAAGGGTGATGTGTAAATAATCAAGTCTAGACCAGACAATCCAGTGATTGATACTGTGAGCATTGATCCACGCAATCTGGGTATGATGACACGCCATAACCAAGTCTCCAAGCCTGATCACTCAATCCATTAACCTGCCTCTATCAACCAGCACAGTTGACCAAGTCAAACACAGAATCACCAGGGGGTTTGAAGACTAAATAAAACGGCAAATGTGATAAGGTTGATTGCATAGAGTCCAGGGCCCACTTGCACAGGTAAGCCTATGTTAACATATGGGAGTTACGATCATCTTAGTGTAAGATTGCTTTGTACAACGGCACCCAGGGCCCACTTGCACAGGTAAGCCTATGTTAACGTATGGGAGTTACGATCATCTTAGTGTAAGATTGCTTTGTGCAAGTGGGTCCAGGAATGTTCTCCAGTGCCACTTTTTGCAGTCATGGTTATCAGGGGTACTTTAGAACCATAATAATTATTAAATTGACAGTCACAATAAATATGCAAAGAAAAAAACAGAAATACTGCAACAAAAAAACAAACGATCTTAAGGTTCACTTTATCAACATAGATACTTGATTATAAACTAGCGCGTGTTCAAATTCCTTGTTGGAAAATCACTTATAAGTCATAAAGCAAAGATCCCCTCTCCTTGCATAGCGTTCAGAACTTAAACACTGCTGTTCCTGTACTAACCTCGTTTGTTAACATTCGATGACCCACCTGGAACAAAAACAACAGATGTCAAAAATAGCAAATAATTGAAATAATTTGAACATCATTTCTAATGATGAGGTCAAATGAAGCCTCATGACCCTTGTTTAACATGGATATGCCCAAAGTTGGATGACATTTTTATCCCTGATGTAATCTGTCACTTCCTTCTGACATTGCCCCTTGTGTCACTGTTGTGTAGATAAGTGCTAGAATTAGGGACCTATATAGGCGAGGAAGTCTCTAAGTGGTGTGTTTGTGTGATGTCCCGGCTAGTCCACACAGCAGCAGGTCAGTCGATGTTCAGTTCTTACCATCCACATCAAGCCATTATAATTTGCCCTCGGTGCCAAGTATATATTTTTATCAGAAATAATAAACCTCCAGTGACGTCCTCCTTTTGCTCTCCAGTTAAATCTCATAAACAGGGATGTTGTAATATGTGCAGGATTTTATTAATTCAACTTATATTGTAACATATGAATTTTTCTCGCTAGAAAATATTTTGCATTTGAACACAATGTAATGAAATGTAAAATGAAATGACAAATGATTTCTTTATATTCCCGTCGATCAAACATGTAACATTCCAAGTAAGCTTACCAGTAGACTACAGAGGCACTGATAAATCACAATGCTTTTAAGAATGTCTTTTTCGAGTAATAGATATTTTATGCCTGTTTCATAAGGTTCATTGAAAGTATTTTTGAAACACCTGGCTCCAAATGTGTCACGAAATTTATGCAAGTGTTACCACCTGGCTTAAAATGTGCCATGAAATTAATGCGTGTGTAAACACCTAGCTTAAATATGTCATGAAACTAATGCAAGTGTTACCACCTGGCTTAAAATGTGTCATGAAATTAATGCGAGTGTTAATGCCTGGCTTAAATGTGCCATGAAATTAATGCAAGTGTTACCACCTGGCTTAAAATGTGTCATGAAATTAATGCGAGTGTTAATGCCTGGCTTAAATGTGCCATGAAATTAATGCAAGTGTTACCAGCTAGCTTAAATGTGTCATGAAACTAATGCGAGTGTTACCACCTGGCTTAAATATGTCATGAAACTAATGCAAGTGTTACCACCTGGCTTAAAATGTGTCATGAAATTAATGCAAGTGTTAATGCCTGGCTTAAATGTGCCATGAAATTAATGCAAGTGTTACCACCTGGCTTAAAATGTGTCATGAAATTAATGCAAGTGTTAATGCCTGGCTTAAATGTGCCATGAAATTAATGCAAGTGTTACCACCTGGCTTAAATATGTCATGAAACCAATGCAAGTGTTACCACCTGGCTTAAAATGTGTCATGAAATTAATGCAAGTGTTACCACCTGGCTTAAAATGTGTCATGAAATTAATGTAAGTGTTACCACCTGGCTTAAAATGTGTCATGAAATTAATGCAAGTGTTAATGCCTGGCTTAAATGTGCCATGAAATTAATGCAAGTGTTACCACCTGGCTTAAATATGTCATGAAACCAATGCAAGTGTTACCACCTGGCTTAAAATGTGTCATGAAATTAATGCAAGTGTTACCACCTGGCTTAAAATGTGTCATGAAATTAATGCAAGTGTTACCACCTGGCTTAAATGTGCCATGAAATTAATGCGAGTGTTAATGCCTGGCTTAAATGTGTCATGAAATTAATGCGAGTGTTAACACCTGGCTTAAATGTGTCATGAAATTAATGCAAGTGTTACCACCTGGCTTAAAATGTGTCATGAAATTAATGCGAGTGTTAATGCCTGGCTTAAATGTGTCATGAAATTAATGCGAGTGTTAACACCTGGCTTAAATGTGCCATGAAATTAATGCGAGTGTTACCACCTGGCTTAAATATGTCATGAAACTAATGCAAGTGTTACCACCTGGCTTAAAATGTGTCATGAAACTAATGCAAGTGTTACCACCTGGCTTAAAATGTGTCATGAAATTAATGCAAGTGTTACCACCTGGCTTAAAATGTGTCATGAAATTAATGCGAGTGTTAATGCCTGGCTTAAATGTGTCATGAAATTAATGCGAGTGTTACACCTGGCTTAAATGTGTCATGAAACTAATGCAAGTGTTACCACCTGGCTTAAAATGTGTCATGAAACTAATGCAAGTGTTACCACCTGGCTTAAAATGTGTCATGAAATTAATGCGAGTGTTAATGCCTGGCTTAAATGTGTCATGAAATTAATGCGAGTGTTACCACCTGGCTTAAAATGTGTCATGAAATTAATGCGAGTGTTAATGCCTGGATTAAATGTGTCATGAAATTAATGCGAGTGTTAATGCCTGGCTTAAAATGTGTCATGAAATTAATGCGAATGTTAACACCTGGCTTAAATGTGTCATGAAATTAATGCGAGTGTTAATGCCTGGATTAAATGTGTCATGAAATTAATGCGAGTGTTAATGCCTGGCTTAAAATGTGTCATGAAATTAATGCGAGTGTTAACACCTGGCTTAAATGTGTCATGAAATTAATGTGAGTGTTAACACCTGGCTTAAATGTGTCATGAAATTAATGCGAGTAGCCTTGACTTTGAACTATAAAAACTTATCTCCCACAGAATTCCATGCTAAAGAATGGGGTGATAGTGTAAGCAAGGATTATATCCTACCTAAATATTATCCCGGGGGAAGTTTTACTCTGGAGTATAGTACAGGATAGGATTAAACACACTGGTATGGGTTCAAATTCACTTGGGAGAATCATCCTGACACTAGATTATTTCATCCCCGACATAAAAAATAGGGGAGGATAATATTCACTCTTACAATAGCAGTTAAATATTTGCAATCTTCACAAACTTAACAATTGCTTGATGTGTGATCTAACTTCCATGAAATCAAAAGCAGGATATCCAAAATAAAGTCTATTCCAATGGATGACAGACTAAGATGGTACAGGTTCCACGTGTTGTGACAGGCGTTATTCAGCATGGACTCTGCTACTTGACATCTCCACTACACAGGTCAGCAGTGTTTTGCTGGCAAATAGGAGATTATTTTGCAAGGTTACTGAGAACAAAGATGCCATCATACATGATCGTAACTGACCACACATGATACAGGATTTGGTAAGTAGCACTGTCTAAATCTAGTGTTAAGGATTTACACAGCTGTGAACAGCATTTCAGTCATTGAGCGTTAAGGATTTACACAGCTGTGAACAGCATTTCAGTCATTGAGCGTTAAGGATTTACACAGCTGAACAGCATTTCAGTTATATTACCAGTCCCAGACAAGTTCTACAGTAAAATTATCAAAATTCCAAAGTAAATTACTAAAATTCTGCAGCTAAAAATTACAACATTCTGCAGTAAATTCTGTGCTGAAAGCATAACCATTTTCCCTTTAATTAATGCAAACTCTTTTAAATTTTTTAATCTCTTGCATTTAGACATTTCAAGATAAACTTATGCAATACATATGTATAGTGTTGGATATTTATTTATGGTTGATGTAAACATAGTCTATGTTGTCATAACACCACAGGAAAAATATATATTTCAAATTTAACTTTTTGGTAGGATGCATATTTTGTATGTTTGAATTGCATGTAAAATGTTGGGCTGCCATATCCACTGTTTGACCAAACCAATTGATTCACTCCATCTGTTATGGAAACAGAACACTCCCTCATCTGAACCTGAGTCCAACTTGTTGCAACGGAAATGTAAAACAATTTTTCTAAAAATTCCTAAAAAACAAAGGCACCCATTCAGTGGATGTCTGATGTGAATACAAAGTTTCATGAAGAAATATTGAACGGTTTATGAGTTAAGATGGACAGACAGACACCATTTCTTTATCACCTGTAAAACTTGGGGGGGCGGGGTGATGGGGATGGTGGGATAACTGAAAATGTAACTCAACTGAAACTGTTACAAAGGAACGCATAATTCATGTTTTATAACTATAAGCAATAAACATCTGATCATACTTACAGGGACTTTCATTCACACTGTTTAAGTACATATGATTAACATGGTATTTGGATTGACTGCATATTCGTTAACAGAATTCCTCCCCCATGTTCTTGAGATGCCCTCAATGAATGGAAGCATGCAGGCAGTTCAATGATCTGGACAAAACTAACCCATGTGTTCCCGACTCACCTACTCTAACCGTGACTGACTGACTGCTGATTTCGTTCTCGGATCCCCGACACATGAACATCCCCGAGTCGTGGGGCTGGCTGTTGTCAACGATGAGCTCGCTGTAGAGGGAGCGGTCCTCCACGGTCCAGAAGCGGGTGATGATGTAGTTCCTGTACCTCTCGCCCGTGATCTTGTCACCATCTTTGAACCAGTCGATGCCCCGTGCGTTTAGCCTGCCTGAGATGTTGCATAACAGCCTGATCTCGCCTCCCATAGGCACATAGTTCGACCCTTGCAAGAAGATATCTGCAACACCACGTACGTGCCTCGTGATAGAATGGGGGACCACCTATTATGTATCACATAGCTGGGATATGTACAATTGAAGCACTGACAAACGTGTAACATTACACATCTTCTCATGTAACAACAGGAACTGTTAAGCACTGACGGACGATCAGTTTCTAAAAGTTGCAGACCTGATAGTTGTACTCCCTAAATTAACTCAGCATTCTAGTTTTAATTCAATGCAATTAGTAAATTAACTGTATGTTAAACACATTACTGATGAATAAAATTTCAGTTAAAGTTATTAAGTTGACAATCCACCAGTTTATTGTCTTTTTCTAAGAACTAGTGAGTGAGTGAGTTGGGTTTAACGCCACTTTTAACAGTATTCCAGTTATATCGCGGCGTGTCAGCTTCGTGTGGGAGGAAAGCCCGAAGTGATGCAGGTCTCAGACGTTTACCACTTCGGTGAAACCCACGAGCACGGGTATGGTGCTGACAAACCTAGAAACATAATCAGGGCGAACCGGGATTCGAACCCACAATCATAGGTTTCTGGCGTGCCCAAGGCACGCAACTCTGCACAGCGAATCGCGGCGCCTTAGACAACTTGGCCACCCATGCCCCCTTTCTAAGAACTGACATGAAACAGTACTATTCTTATGTTTACCCTTTTCTTATTGTCTAGAGCATTCTGAACTGCCAACAGCTAGTTTGTTCGGTTTGGTAACTTTGCAAAGTTGCTAATCCGGTTGTCTGACTGAAATTTTGGGGAATTTTATACACTGTGTTAAGAACAAAAAGGAATGTGGAAAATGTCATCCATATTTTCTGTTAATCTAAACTGATTGTTCATAGTACCTAACATCCTAATTCTTACCTGGCTTTCTTGCTGGGGGATCTGAAACATAAATGTAAAAGTTTTATTTTTATATCAGCTTGATATATACATTGTATTATCACGTATGAAACAAGACAGACCTTTGTTCTGAGTGAAGCTTAAAAAGAGTTACCTCCCTTGCACCAAAGCTGCAGAAACATTCAAGTTATGGCTCAAAATTGTACACAGCAAACCGCTTTAGTGAAAATTTAACTAAAAATGAACAATTCATTATAGCTAATATGAATTTGCTGTACAGTTCTAAACAATTCAAGATTATCATAAATAACCAAGAATTTCCTGCTTACAGTTCACACACCATGTAAACGCCTTACCTATAACAACCAGGTACACTTCTCGTACATATTTTTTTGTGGCTGCTATCTGGCACTCGTATATTCCTGTGCGGTCCTTCTGTGCATTCTTTATCAACAAATTCCAATCACTGACTTGGAAAGAAATTCTTCGATGCTCTGAAATAACATTTGGGTCCTTCACCCACGTCAGTTTACCGATTGTCAAGAAGTGGTCTGCCCCTTGGTGACGCCACACAACCTGGAACAAAGAGGAGGACAATACAGAGCCGGCCTACGATAACAGGCTTGATACAAGTCAATAGCAGGCGGGTGTTTGCATAATACACTGGGTTATCGTCCATCAGTCTGGGGATGGTGAAGGGTTTGTAAGTATTTGTACAAGTCATTGATTGTGAATTAGTGAATTTTGGGGCTATTTTCATCTCTGATATTCACTTTTGTAGAGGCATATCGTACAAAATCGATACTGGTGAATTTGCGACGACCATCACTGCGATATTGACTATAACATACATTCCATAAGAACGAGTAATTATTGTGTCATATTTTTCATATTTAATCGTACTGCATGAACTTATTGTTTAAAAAGGTGAAAATTGGATTAGAAATGCACATTTCACAAATGGACTAAAAAATATGAAAATAAATTCGCTTTATTAGGATGCTTTCTGAAGAAAATAAGTGCTGAAAGTTACATGACGAAATAAGAGAAATACTATGCACCATCCACATCATGAAACTAGTTAGCAGACAAAGTGGTTTTTTGTCAACTTTAATCAACGTTCTTGAACTACCATTACGCCCAGACCAATTTAGTCCTCCATTAAAGTGATATCCCAAAATGCAACACACTGATATAGCTTAATGACCCAACCGTACTTAAGTTACCAGTTGAAAATTAGAAATATGCCATTCTAATCAATCAATTCTTGACATGCCAGGATAATAATTTTCAAAAGAAAATCCCAAGAGATAAATTTCTAACGAGTCACATGTCAACTCTAAATATGGATGACTGACTGAACAGACTGAACAGAGGTGAACAATTAAGTCCAGGCAGGCTAATGAGGATTCCGATTCAAATTTATCCAACACAAAACTCATGTAAGTGGATTTGTATTAACGACTGAGATCTTATTTTAGGTGAAAATAACAATTAGCCTAATAATATTTGGATTTTCAAGAAATTAATTGAAAATTCTGTTTGCCCTAAAACCTGTATGACAACCTATATATTTTTTCTCCATTCTGATTAAATGCCAGTTTCATAGTGCTAGCCCACTGAGACACCATACCGTCATTCACAGTATTCTGACTACGACCTGACCAGTCCTTGTTTCATCCCCTTAATGCTGAGCGCCAAGCAGGGTAACAACAAGTACCATCTGATAACATCTTTTGGTGTGATGCTGTCCGGGCAGAGGCTCTATCAACAATCAGTTGATACCACTTATACACCTCCAGTGACGTCATCCTATTGTTCTCCAGTGGGGTTAAATCTCATAAACAGGGATGTTGTAATGTCCCAGGATTATATATGATATCCCTGGTATTTTACATAAAACCTCAGGATTTTATAGAATATTCCAGGCAAATTTTTTACATAATGTCTTATAATATTCTAGGGATCTTATATAATGAAACGTAAAATCAAATGACAAATTATTTCTTTATATTCCAATTTTAAGTTTCTATTTTCAGTTTATAAGTTAGATTAAACACTTTCCCTTGGATGTCCTTAATCCTACACTTAAAACAAGAATTGTTCTGACTTAAGTGAGTGAGTGAGTGACACCGCTTTCAACATTATTGCAGTTATATCACAGCATGTCAGCTTAATGTGGGAGGAAAGCCTGAAGTGATTGAGGTCTCAGACGTTTACCACTTCGGTGAAACCCACAAGCACAGGTATGGTGCTCACAAACCTAGAAACATAATCAGGGCGGACAGGGATGCGAACCCACAATCATAGGTTTCTGGCGTGCCCAAGAGACGCAACTCTGCACAGCAAATCACGGCACCTTAGACGACTGGGCCACCCTTGGATGTTGAGGTTTTTTTCTGACGCACATTTTCCTAAGATCGGAAAAGTGAAGGTTGTACGAGAATTGCGCTCATGTGGCACTGGATATACATCTGGCCATAAAATTACGCAGAGGTGGAGAATATTAAATTTCCCATTTGATGGTGTAAAGTTAACTGCAAATATTAAAACAGTTTTAAAAAAATACACTTCTAAGTGTTGTTGGAGAACTTATTTTGTGTTGAAAAACAGTAAATTTCTCCGCTTTTTATCGTACACCGATAAAAGTACTGTGCAACGATTTTTTTTATTTAGAAGCTTTACGGAATCTGTGAGCGAACAAAATACTGCCTCATATCTGATGGACATAACTATATATCAAATGGAATTATATGCGTATGTATAACGACATACATTCAATGCCAAAAATAGCATGCCGTAAATGACGAAAACTTATTTTTCTCTATGACGTCAAAAGGCGACAGTGAGGTTACACACGTACAAAGGAAAGGGGGCATAACTCCTTAGCTGTGGGTAAAGATAATATTTTTTCGTGGTGTTTTGTTCACTAGGAACCAAACTATTCCAACACAAATAACGATAAAGAAACAGTATACGTTTAGTTATTACAAAAACGTAAGAAATGATGAAATCGTACTTTATAAAAAAAGAGGTAATAGAGAAATGGATGGCCCTATCTAACCTATAACTTAGTCCTTAGATTCCAACATTCTCCTGAATGTGTAAGTGTAATTTGACTAATGTTGCACCATTATTAATGGAGCACTAGCCTTATCATCAAATGTAATGAAATACCAAAAAAATAACACCATTCTATTTGTCAACATGGCTGGTTTCATGTTTTTGATAACATTGGAGAAAGACGACACTGGTATTTTGATTAATATATATCACCCCTAATTTTCGTTCATGGTATGGAAAATCACGATGTGTAAAACGGAATTTGACGCTTTTTCAACACAACATAAAATGACTGCTTTCATCAAGTAAATAATGTAATGAATATGTAAACAATTAAATAGTTTATCGTGTATCTTATTTGGACAAGACACGCACCTGTTTGGCATCAATTTACGTAATGAAATACACAAAAGAATATTTCCAAACAACCAAAATTATATTCAATATTGGACATACATATTTGTTCATAATTATGTTGTTATTATATCTCTTCATCTCGTGTCAGAATTACACACTAAAAGATGTGAAGAAAGCTCTATTGGTATAGACTTATCAGGATAATCATATACGGTTGAACCAACAGGGCATCTGGCATGGGTTTTATTTTTATACATAATATAATGCAAAACAAGAATAATAATTCGTAAATTGTTTGTGACTAACGCGCACCTGGCGAATTGTTAGATATCACTGTTCTGTGTATCAAACAACATAAAAAACAATTCCAAGACCAAGATAATTCTTTCAGAAATGTGTGCATATATTTAACAAAAAATATTATCCATTTTGTTAAAGTTATATATTCAGTTTTAGTTATAAAATAAAATGAAACGGCTATTCATGGACATTGGTTATATGAACTTATAATATTGACTATTTCACATCCCAAGAAATATGTACATGCTGCAGTTACATTTACACTTCATCTTGTAACACTTGTCCAAAGGAAAGAAATATCTATTCAACACTAAAAACCTATCAATTATTATGTAAACAATGTTCAAACAAACAGGAGATTATCAAAGGTTCGTTCATACATGTTGTGGCCTATATTTACGTATGATATCATTTTGAACATTGACAAATATCCAAAGAGAAATTAATTGTGTGAAGAAATGTATAAAAGATATGAAAAATCCATATCATAACTGAAACTGTAAACAGCATGATACAATGATCATGTGCACTCTCATTCAAGGACCTTCACCTCAAAGAAATTACCAAACATGTACAACATTGTTGACGTATGAAATCACTACCTGTGACCGCCTTTTACAAAATGGCGTGTTCACTGTCAACAGTACGCAGGATTCGTTGATTCAGGGATCGTATAAACATTAATGTGACATGTAAGTAATCAGAAACATTCTGACAATCTATGTACTGTTATTTGTCGTTATAATTTTTATTGAAACAAACGGAAATGGTCAGAAATTCCGATAAATACTGTTGTCATTGTGCGTGATTTTGTGTCAGTCATGGTGTCACACAGGACGGTAACTTTGACAATTTCTGTTGAAAATATCAAATCATTGCAATGTATCTGTTATAAATTCCCCAATTCTTCCTACGATTCTCTTGCAATGCATATTCAGAAAATGTTGAGCCAATATCTTGAATGAATAGACGAATGGATAGCTCAAAATAGGAGAAAATGCTACACTGTGTAAAATCTGTATTTTGCTTTGTTTACATTTCAATCAAGTGCAGTTTTTCGAGCACAGCCTTCGTTTTCACACCAAACTTATTTTGCTTGATTTCATCCAGCCACTTTGTATTGGTGACAAAGACCATTGGTCATTTGATTCTAAAATGTATGAGGAATTCAAGGATGTGAGTATCGCAGCTAAGTTTAAAACATATGTGATGTTACAGGCGCCTAATTACCGGTGTACCGGAAATGTGATTTTGTAAACACTATCCAATATGGCAGAAAGTTCACTTCAGCGTTCGTGTTTGCGTATTTTCCAAAACATTCTAAACGATTCTAGGGTTATAGGAGACGTTTTGGAATGATCATTGGTGATTTCATAAAAGAAAGATACCCGTGATCACTAATATGCTATTTTTGAAATTAATTTCTCCGAGTAAATATCCGAAATTTAGATTTCAAAACATGCTGTAAATAACGCAGTGTGTGGTGATTTAGTAATGTGTAAAAAATGGCGACATTTACGATGTACCTAATTTTCAGAGGTCATTTACAGTACTTTTGCTTGGCCTAAAATGATAGTGGATGATATCACAGAACAGGGAATTTCCCACCTTATTCAAAACTGTGAAGCGTATTTGTGTGGGTGATGTATTTTGAATTTTATTCGACTTCAAAGTGAGGGTTGTAGAGGAGGGACATATATGTCCCTGTGGCATCCAGGGGGTTAAGACTTTGTGCCTTCCATTCAGCAGCTGCTTCCTGACAATGTCATCACCACGACAACTCAAACATATCAAACATATCAAACATATCAAATCTGGAGGTGTTATTTAGGGAGATATGAATACGACACATATCA